CACTGGTCTTTTGAGATTTTAAGTTGTTTTGCTTCTATAACATGTCGTCTTTCAGACTAGTGGAAAGAAAACATCCAAAATACACATTTATGTATTTATTTACAGATTTCTATTTTTCTATAGCTTTCAATTACAGTGCACATTTTTTAAAGACTGTTGTCTCAAAATGAGTTTTCATCTCACTTACATACTTTACGGTTTTATTCATATCTATATCAAGTTTATTTTTTTTTTTAACCAAGGGGTTCGTTCTTATATAATTAACCTGATTTATAAAACATCTATTCCTAAAAACATGGTGATTTTTTCTGTCTTTTTTTTCAGTATTTTCTTTTTATTTTATAAAAAAATATCCTTAATCTGAACAAAGTGAAGCAAGAATTTTGAACCTGGCTTCATTCGGTGTTCAGATTTCTGGACTGGACTTTTAGCTAATGCTTTATTTGCATATTTAGACTTTACAATTTCCAAAACAAGTTTCTGAACGTACTGACATTAATCAGTTTGGGAGTATGGTGAAATCAAATCAATTTATTTATTTTTTTACCCTGTTCACCTGCAATGTCTTGCCTTAACATAATATTAACACATTTAAATTCAGAAATTGTGTATGCCGTATAAAATTTTATTATTTAGGTATTGCCATTATAGCGGTCACCCTGCTTTCTAGCAGTCAGTCATTGAGAAACCATATTGGTCAACCAATAAATTGAGATTTTATTTTAATTAATTGATTAAATTATTTTATTAACATAATTTACAAGGAATAACATGTTTTTTTTCTTGCAGGTGGACCTCCGAGACCGGGCATGTTACCAGCTCCACCCATGGGTGGTCCTCCTATGATCCCTATGATGGGTCCCCCTCCTCATGGCATGATGCCTGGAGGACCAGGTAATGCTGTTTAGTTAATGTGAGGGAATTTTTATTAATAGCAATCTGAATTGATCATCTCAATCATCTGGCCCGCTTTCAGGTCCAGGTATGCGGCCACCAATGGGCGGACCTATGCAAATGATGCCCGGGCCACACATGATGCGACCTCCCGTTCGGCCAATGATGCAGGCCATTAGACCCGGGATGGTGAGACCTGATCGATAAAGTCACCATGCCATGATTACTAACCCGATATCCACAAAAGACTTGGCCAAATATCCACACTGGTTTTACAGCAGATTGAAGAGTTTTATTGCCCATTTGCATTTTATGATGTCTGCGATTCAGAAAACGTTGGTTCGCTCGAGTGACTCGGATTACCACAAATTCTTGTCAAATTTAATGAACCTTCCATTGGCTTTCATTTCATATTTATGACAGACCAGAGGGTGTTGCGTAAGAGGTTTGTGTATGATGTGCATTTATTACGTTGATGGATGTTTTGGTTATTTACTGTTAAGTTGATTTTCAGCTTTTTGTTTTTCCATGTATTTTGAGAAAATAAAACGAAAAACTTGAAAATCTGGCATGTTTTCATTTGGTCTGCTTACATAACATTTTAATAGAAACACAGTCAGTAATATACATCTTGATTACTCACAATAATATAATCAAAGCCAGAATATAGAATATGCTAAAATCAAATCGAATGCAATTCAAACACAAGACAAAAACATAGAGCAAAAAAGTCTATTGAATTTATTAGTTCAATGGCATTGAGAGAGTATAATGATTGTTCTTTAAGTAAATGGAACGAACATACAGAGTAGTATGAACATTCAGGACAAAAAGTACATTTATTAGACATCTTTTAATCGTAGTTACTTTACCTTCTACATAGGCCAACAGTGGTATTTTATCTTGTGTTGTCAAGTGCAAGCATTCTGCCCTGATCCTGGTATGTTTCTGACATCCCCATACTCTTCCCAACCAGGAAGAAAAGAGGATACTAACGTAATTGGTGTTAAATTGTTTATCAATATTTGCTCCAATTATGTGAAGTTCAAAAGAAATTCAAGTGAATTAAAAGAGGAAGAGAGGGACGAAGTGTTGCCTGAGGGGTTTGCAGTTTTTCTCCTTTTCTGTAAATCATTCTGTTCCACTGCAGCATATATACCCATTTTTTTCCATTAAGTCAAAGAATCTGCTAACTATAAAAAATAAAACACTCGTTGTGATGCTAGACAGCTAGGCTTTGTGATAGGTGGCCATAAAGTGACATTTAATTCAGCTCTTTGTTTTCATATAGCAAATCAATAGCCTAAATATGCTACATATTTGCTTTTTCACAGTAAGATCATTGCATCAACCATTGATTCGATTTCAATTCAGCTGGATTCTTCAAATACAGGTAAAAATATTTTTGCTGCTTTACATGAAAGTACTTCTTCTCAACCACAACGTTTCCATCTCAGGTCCACATTTGGACCCATTTTGTTTAAAATGCCACAAATCTTCAACCAGCAGTTCTATAATGTACACAGAGTCCAAAAAGATCAAAACTCTTGTTTTGCATTATTTTTAGGTATATTCTGCTAACGTCACTCGCAAAGTCCTTCTCCGTATGAAAATAAACCACAGTTTAAGAGGAAACATTGAAAACTAAAACGTTCACACAGTGCTCAGGAAAGAGAAGTCCAGTTTTCCAGAGATTCCACAAAGTTCTGCTTGCTTTTTAAAGACATAAATGAGTGAATCTCACGAAAAACTTGAGAAATGTTCACATTTCACCCCAAAATCAAAATAAGAAGCAAATAAAACCTATTTTAGGACCATGCATTGACATATTTGTCATGACAATTAAGCAAATTACACCCCAAAATGCTGAGAAAATGATATACAGTACAAGTATACATCCTGGTTGTACTGCATTTAATTTATGCTGATTTTAATACAGTAATTATTATGATTTCTTCCCACATTACAGAATTTCCAGCAAAAATATGTCTAGAAAATAATCCCACAACGCAAACAATCTTGATAGTCCTGAGAATAGGATTCATTTGCTTTATGCAAAAATCTTGCTTTTGATTTTGGGGTGAAATATGACATTGCTTTGTGAGATTCATTCAAATTGAATATCATGCTGATTCATGTTTTAATATTTGATGTGTTGTGTCCATTTCCACATCACCAGCAAATCAGTTTATCGGCTGAGTAATGTCCGTATTCAAGTTTATTTTTGCAGTAGGAGCAACTTTGGACAATCCGTTTGGTACGGCAGTTAAGTGCTAATTTTGCATTTCTCTTTCATACTCACTCAATTTCTTCCTCATTTGGACTCACACATAAAGTTTCACCTGAGTCCCCTTCAATTCACACCTTGGTGTCCGGAAACTTGAAAGGTGGAGTCAGCTACACAAGGAAAAATATATTGGAATTCAGAAATGGGAATGCTCTAAAATCCCAATCAAGTTGTCAGAGCCCAGACAGGACTGCTAATTACATTGGAAATATTACAAATGTGACACAGCATTTCAGAAAAGTGTCAAAAATACACAAAGCTCGCATTACAGGATGTGATGTCACGAGTGAAATGAATCTTGTGTTTGGCAATTTTGAGTTAGGAAATGGGACAAAACAATGGCAAACGATGGTTGTTAATGAGTGAGGATGATTGTGATGTCTGGAAGTCGAGGATGTGCAACACAGTCACAAAGAAATTACCACAACTTTAACAGATAACTCCATAAAACCGGACATGAGAGACAAACAGTGCAGTTCAGAAGTGAGTAACTTAACAGCCAGAATCAAACTAAAGCGAACAATCCTTTCCACACGATAAAAAAAAAACAGCCATGTTCACACTGCAACGTTTTGGAAACAACAACAGCATTTAAATGAGAAATTAATCACCTGAATCATCATTTTGTATATGTACGAAATACAGGAGTCTTTCTTGAACGTAAAGTGGCTGACAGTTATACAGAGACTGTTGCAATTCGCGAAAGTGTCACCATAGCAAAAGCGGTTATAAACACTGATCTATATGATATATATAATATAATATAATGTTCTCTATTATAGATCATTGGTTATAAACCACAAACACTGACGCCGTTATTTTTGACTAAAGAAATATTAGAGATCCAAAAATGACAATTCTGTCGACATTTACTCATTCTCAAGTTTTTCCAAACCTGTATGTGTTTCTTTTTTTCTGTTGAACATAATATACAGTATATTTTGAAGAATGTTAGCAACCAAACAGTTGACGGTAGCCATTGACTTCCATTGTATATTTTTTCCATACTGTGGAAGTCACTGCCTACTAGCAACAAAATATCTTCTTTTGTGTTCAACAGAAGAAAGAAAACCATACAGGTTTGGAACAACTTGAGGGTGAGTGAATGATGACGGAATTTTCATTTTTGTGTGAACTGTCCCATTAATTGTTCCGTGTGTGAATTTGGTTTAAAAATGTAGTTGTTAGGCTACTCCTTTAAAACTGTGAGTGAAACAAAATCTAATTTAGCCGCAGTGTGAACGTGGATCATGAAACAAGACAAAACATAAAACATCAAGAATGTAAAATCGACTTTTAGCCAAAGTTTTTGCCATTTAGCCAAAGTAAAACAGCAGATTTCTAGCATCTAATACGCTGAAATGTGTGTGAATAAACAAAGTGGTGCAAACTTACAGTGGTTTTCCAAACGTTCAGTACATTGTCACAATATGCATAAGGCTGTTTGGAGCTTCTTCTTTTCTTTTCTTTTTTTTACCTCTAGCCTTAGTGCTTTTTCTTTTCTTGGCTTCATTATCTTCTCTCTAAAGATAATTGTGGGACTGTGGGAATTCTTTTGCAATTGAATATAGTAACATTTACCATTATTATGTCTACGAAAATATTCTGTCTCATTTTTCTGCAAATGACTTTGTAGTGGAAATCTAAGAGGTAACTAATTTTACAGAACAAATCATCAATCACAAAATGAACATAGAGGTTATACACACACTTACTATGTGATGTTAACAAAGTAAAGTTACAAATATAGAACTTTACGAAACCAAATGGATTCCCTTATTAGATAAAAAGTCAATGAAATTGGAATGGGAATGTTGTCTTGGTTATTCCATTTTCTTGGGGCTGTATTCTACTCTTCCCAGTAAAATTGTATTGCATTTCAAATGCCAACCTTTAAATGCTCTAAACAGGCATAGTCTTTCTTCCGAGGGCCTCAGAGCTGCAGATGCCTGGTAAGACAAAAGGAAGCACTGGATGTGAACCGAGATGACAGACCCAACTCTTTTGAAAAACTGAAGAACTGCTTGGTGGGGGGGCGTGGGTCCAACTACAGGGAAAGAAAAAAAGTGAGCTACAGGGTTGGAGGAGCGCCGATGGGAAACTGCGTTATGTTGCATTCATGATCGTGAATGTACGTAAACTTCGAAAAACAGTTCTAGTATTGCTGTTGCAGTCAGAGAGCTCGTGGATTTACTAATTTCTAATAAAGTTCCGCCAACATGTCCATCTGGATGAGGAGATGTAGAAATGCTACAAGTGTCGGTGCGTCAAGTTCGGAGGTTTTCTGATAGAGAACCCTCTGATACGAGGGACCAAACCGTAAACATTCAGCGTAATGTATAAAATAGGGAAGCTTTCAGAGGCGATTTCAGACCATGACGGAAGAGTTTGAGGAGGCTGGTCATACGGCAAATCCAGGAATTCCAGAAAGCGTTCATCGGTCAAGATGACAAAAAAGGAAGGTGGTGATGTACGGCTCTCCAAAAAGGACAATGCAGGCAAGGGCCGGGGTCGGGACTGGAGTGGGAAGTAGTCTTGCCCTGAGGGAGGCTACAAATCACAGTGAGAAGGCACGGGGCACTCGAGTTTATGGGGCGTGGGGTTAAAATGGGGCAGCAGGCGGGATTGGACAAGGGCCGTGCCACGTTTCAAAAAATGGTGGTCTCATACTTGGTGCTACTCGAAGGTCTGGAGGATTCCCGTGGTTCGTAGAGCCAACTGGTGCTGCCCAGGGACTGCAGGTCCGTTTCCGGCTCCAGAGGGTCGATCTGCCGGAGAAGCAGGAGCGAGGAGTGAGACTGCAGGAGAGAATGGCAGCCAACGGAAACCCACATTTCACACAAGTGAGGAGATGGCTGTTGAGGATGAACACCATGTAGAAATCACCGTAGACAACAACACTGATCTCTGGGCCTGATGCTGGTTTGAGCGTTTATACACAAACAGATGCTCAGTCTATCTGCTAAGTTAATAGAGAAGTGGATTCTTAAATTCAATTGGCACACAATCTTCATCTTAAAATCGTTAAAAGTGGCGTCTTTTAAGAAGGTCGTCTGATACTGTCATTTCAAGTTGTTTTCAAAAAAGTGAACGTTTTGAATTTGACAAAGTATAAATGTAGGATAGCTGTCTCCAGTGTTGCTGACACAACATTTTAAGTATTGCTTAAAATGCAATACTTTGTTTTTGAAAAGTCCTCTCAATGACATTGTTAGGCGACACAAACTTTTCGCTTCACTTTATGAAAAGGCCCAGTATTGTTTTCTAGTAATTTGAAAGACATTGCTCCAGGCATGGTGAACCCAATTGAAGAATTGTGTAGTGATCTGTGAAGTACAACTATAATTATATAAATCTCCCGAAAACATGTCTGGGTCACATTTCACCCCAAAATCCCTTCAGAAATGACATTTTGCATACATTAAAATTAAGCCTATGTTTAGAACCATTAGAGTTTTGCACCGTGACATTATTTCCAAGAAAATTATGCACAAATTTTTAATTACCATAATAATGTGTATGGATGTTTTACTTTATACTGTATTATTGTAAGGATTAAGCAATATTAAATTCACTACAATGAAGTATAAATACTAAAATAAATTAACATTTATTAAAAAAAAAAAATATATATATATATATATATACACAGTATAAGCAGATTTAAAATGTATATACACACACACACATAATAATATATTGCCATTTTTTTCAATTATTAATTGTCATCAAAATAATGTCACAATGCAAAACAATTTAATACAAAATAGGCATCATTTTTTTTATGCAAAATACAATATCTTATTTCCTTTTGACTCTGGAGTGAAATATCACCTGGACAGGTATGTTCTTGACAGGGTTTGTGAGATTCGTTTAAGCAAACCTGATTCTGTTGACATACCGAGCACATCCTCAGGCCAAAACAAGAATTTGCCAATGACACAACATATGCTCATCCTTGAATTTTGTACATGATTGCAACCTTTAAACTTCTAAACGATTTTACTTACACCACACTTTAAAGTTGTGACCTGTTGCTAGTGTCAACCAAAAATGTATATGGGGGAGGGAAAAATAGGTGGATAACAGTGAAAACTGGAAACGTAAGAGGAAAATTAGTAAAGTGAATAAGTGGTAGGGAAGAGAAAACCAGAGACGTAGCAGGAAGAAGAGTGCTGGAGAATGTGAGGAAGAGAGAGAGAGAGCAGAACCTGAACTCCAGGGCTGATAGAGGGCAGCGGGAGGTAGGAGGGGCGGTGGGCGGAGCACGTGTGACAGTAACAGCAGCAGCATTCAAGCACAGGTGCACCCTGGGAAGGAGGACCGGGCAGAAGCCCAGAGACACAGATTACAGGCTTACGCCAACAAAATAAAGACATACAAGACGTGAAAATACACTGGGACTGGAGGTGACACCTCTTTGACACAATTAAACCTGTTCCGTGGATCATGTTGGTCATTCCTACAATGCAGTACATTTTTACCCCACCATCATATATGTCTTAATAAAATAATTAACATTTTTAAAGATGGAAATCATATGATCCTTTATCACAATTGAACATGAAGGGGAATTTTAAATGGTTTCACTGCCTGTTTTTCATCCTACACTTCTAACATAGAAAACATATTCAAAACTATTCTTGGTGTTTCTTCATTTTTTTTAACAGTACAATAAATTGATACTGTAAATGCTACTTTTCTACAAACTGTGGGAGAACAGTTTTCTGAAGTAATCAAAAATATGTGAACACAATATATTCATGATACTATGATATCACATATCATGTGCTGAAGTCATACTCACGGTGGAGCGGCGCATACTGTTGCGGGACTGCGAGGTGGGCCTGTTGGTCTTGGGTTCTATGTTTTCGGAGGCTGGACCAGCATATGAACTGTGACGACGGGCCTTCTGTGCCTGGAGAGCCATCTGATATGCTACCTCAAACGCCTGTCCCAGTGTCAGGATGATCTCATAGGTCTGTGTCTGTACGGGGAACAGCCATTAGCGGAGTCATTACATAGTATGTGTGTTCACTTTCAGTGAGGCTATAAAAAATGGCAGAGAAAACTATATTGGACCTTGACAGTCAAACTGCAACCTGTAAGCGTTACTCATTTTCAAATGTCAAGAGGACAGCCAATCACAACAGAGCTCATTTACATAAAGGAGTACACTGTTCAATTATAAGGGTCAGAGAGATGGGCAAAAAATTCAAATAAATTAAAAATGTAATTAAAATCCTGTGTAGATTCAATGTCGGAAACAAATAATACATTTAAAAAACGAAACTTTAAATTAAATATGTAATTGATACCTTGTGTAGATTTAATGTTAAAAAGTAATTACATTAATATCCTGTGTCGATTCAGTTCAATATCAGAAAGAAATTTAATTAAACATTAAATTAATATCCTGTGTAGATTCAATTCAATATGTCAGAAACAAATAAAAATAAAATAAAAAATAATTAAATATAACATTTTATTTTTAAATATTATCTTGTGTATACTCAATTCACTCTGTCAGAAATTTACATTCATATTCACATTTATTATTTTAGTAACTTGCAAGTGAGAAGTAGCCCAATAAAATATCTATCTATCTATCTATCTATCGATCTATCTATCTAGTAAAATTAATATAAGATAACAAAATTACATTAAATAATTTTTTTTTAAACTCAATAACATTTTGGTGAAAAACACCTTGACACTTTAGTATTATAAAATCATTGAAAATATATAATAGTTAATAATATTAAAATTTATTAAAAAATAAAGCTGCAAAACATGGCAACTTTAAACATGAAAACATTGTTTTCTATTGACTTTAACAAACCTATTCTCTGTCAACCCTGATTGGTTCCCCTATAAAAGAGCAGATAAAAACAACACCCACCACTTCTACTGTAGTGAAGACATGGCAGAAGTGGTAACCAGACTTCAGATCTTTTGTGATGTAAGCAAATGTGCAAAGGTCATCCGGATCCTGGGCCGCACACGAGATGTTCTGGATCTCATGCTCTGCAACCATCACCTGCAAAAGTACAAAAATATAGAGTGAGTCCATCACAATTTTCAAACATCCGCTAAAAACATCAGCACTTCACTAATTCATAACCCGATGTAACCATATATAACCATAATCTATCATTCATGTCTGTGCCACAAATAGTGCAGGACAGGTTACTGTCGAACAAATCTCTAACTCTGATAGTGATGGCTTAGCAGACACCATTAATAATGAGAAACAGTCCAGTTCTCCTGGTTTACACTAAGGTAAACCAATGTTAACTTAAGGTACAGTCAGTATGTACTGGCAGATGCTCCTACCTTGGTGGCTGCGTCAACAAACTTGACTCCTCTGTAGGTGATATTCAGTATTATGACGGGACCTTTCCGGTGATCCTTTGATTTCTGGTAAACATTAGAATGCAAGAAATCATAATTGTTTCACAAAACAATTTAAGACATTAAATAATAGCATACTGACTAATGTATATATATATGTACCCTTATTCTAGCGCAGGCCTCCTGTGTAGATTCAATTCCTCGTAGGTCTCGGATGATAACAGACCCTAAATACTGGTCAGAATGTCAGAAATTTACATTCACTTAGTAGATTTATTTATTTATTTTTTAAATCATGTTACATGTGAGGAATAGTAAAATAAAAATATAAATAAAATATAAACAATAAAAATAAATTACAATTTAATGAAATATTATTACAATTCAAAATAACTTTTTTCAATTTTAATATATATTGTAAAATGTCATTTATTCCTGTGATAAAAACATCACAAAATTATGGATTTGTTTCTCATAAACACACAGCTTTTCACTTCACAAGATGTTAACTGGAGTTACTTGTGGATTATTGTGATTTTTTTATCAGCTGTTTGAACTCTCATTCTGACGGCACCCATTCACTGCAGAGCATCCATTGGTGAGCAAGAGATGTAATGCTAAATTCAGCTAGTTGCCAAGGCAACATTTCTCATTTAAATTTAGTTTACCTTGATGTACTAAAATAACTAAAACTAAAATTTGAAAAAAATAATAATAATAATAATAAAAACAGACATAAAAAAACTACTAAAATAACAAAAACAAAACAAAATTACTAAAACTTGATCTAAAATTAAAACGAAAACAGAAAATCTAAAAAAAACTTATTCAAAATATTAATAAAAACGATGTATTTTTTGTTGTTGTGTAATGTAGAACTGCTTAGACACGGTTTGCAACATTTCTCACAGAATGACTCCAATGTGATTCATTACTTGAAGGAGTCAATTCTCAAAATCTGTTCCCATGAAGAAACAAACTCATCTTGGATGGCCTGAGTATGCGTAAATAAAAAAAAAAAAATGTATTTACGGGTGAACTATTCCTTTTGAAATATTGCATCTTTATGTTGTTAATTCAGATGCAATCCATTCCTATTGTGAAGTGTATAAACTGACAAATCCTCAAAGAAAAGACTTACTCTAGCCTCATAAACGCAGGACTCGGTGATGAGTTTATCAGGGTGATGGTGCCAGGTGGAGACTGTGGTATATGTGGCAGAGTGACTGGAAGGGCGAATACTTGGGCGTGAATGTCGATCTGCATGACGGTCCTAACAGAAAACAACAAGTGCAATCTGAGTCAAAGTCACACCAACTAAAAAAAGACACACTGTATATTTATATTCAAAGTGGAGTTATATTTAATAGTGTTTTGCAGCATTTTACTATTGTTTCTCTATTCATTTAAAAACATAATGAGTTTGAATTATTTAAAAACAATTATTTATGAATTATGAATTATTCATGTTCTGTGGTGTTCAGACGTGTTACTGTGCCCCGTGGTAACAGACATCAGCATTCAAGAATGTACAAGAATGAATTACTGTATATTTATATTCAAAGTGGAGTTATATTTAATGGTGTTTTGCAGCATTTTACTATTGTTTCTCTATTCATTTAAAAACATAATGAGTTTGAATTATTTAAAAAAATTATTTATGAATTATGAATTATTCATGTTCTGTGGTGTTCAGACGTGTTACTGTGCCCCGTGGTAACAGACATCAGCATTCAAGAATGTACAAGAATGAATTCTTCACAAAGACCTCATAACCATTTTAACTCATTTGTTAGAGAGCATGTGCAAGCAAAAATAAATAGTAACATTAAACAATAAATAGTGAACGTTACTAAATATGTTTCATGAAAAATTCACTTTTAGCATTAAAAATAGCACAGAGTCCAAAAAAGTACCATTTTAATTAATTTGGTTAAAATGTCAATGCTCCCAAGTATAAAAAAAAAATATATTATTTTTTTATTAATTACTTTAATATTTAAATAAACATAAATATTAATTTTTTATATTACCTTAATTTCTAAGAATTACAATTGCATCCATGTTTGTTAAGTGTTAACTACAACTGAAACTAAAATTAAAACCATAAAAAATGGTGTTTGTTAATTGAAATAAAATAAATGTTAACTGAAATCAATAAAATATAAAAAAAAACTTAAATTCATTTTATTTCAGCTAGTTGCCAAGAAAACATGTGATTCATTACTTGAAAGGAGTCATTATAATCACAGTGATCTTAGTCACAGTGGTGCTTACATGTGAGCGTGATCTTTCACCGAAGGAGCGAAGGGAGATACTGCCATCCTGATCCAATGCTCTGCTCTTTCTGCCTGATTCTCCCAGCGGAAGCAACATATCCATGGAGCGACTGGTGTACGGATCCATATAACTGAGAGGTGACGTATTTTGAGACAACAGGTCCTGAATCTGATAAACATTAGCAAGGTAAAACATATTTATTGTTATATATGAATATCATGCATTGAAATTTTACATTCATTTTGGGCCTAAAATTATGTCTATTACCTTGAGTTGGGAAAAGCGTTTGGATTTCGAAGGTGCTTCCTCATACGGTCGCTCAGCTATCGAGGCTATGATTCTTTTTCTGTGACCAAGAAGACCAATTTTCAACACCTGAATAGGGAAAATTTGTCAATGCATCAGATCACAGTACACACGTCACACAAAAGATCATACCGGCATGAAAAGCACATTTACATTAACAATTTCAAGCTCCCACAGGTTCTTCACACAGTCCAGGGTGCGGTAGCCGCTAGACAGGAAGTTGTGCAGATACTCTCCAAGACCCAGAGTTTCCAGCCATGAGGACAGAGAGGTGCTGCCGTCACACCCCAGAGCTTTCACCTAAAGGAGGAGAAAAATGCTGTCTCAAAATAAATTGCATAGCATAGCATATATCATTCACTCTGAGAAGCCAGGAGAGACATTTGGACACTTAAGTAACACTTAAAATGTCTGAATGTGGTGTAACAAAATATCTAACCAAGTGCAAACAAAATCTTTTTTCAGAGCTAACGTCACTTTTCTGAGATATATTTGCAATGACTTTTAACCAACCACTCCCAAGGTCATTTTAAGTGGAAGTGGATGAAATGTGTGCTTGAAAAGTGTGCTATCCTTTTAAAAATAAATGCCATAGTGTCCAAATACTATTTAGGGACTGAAACACACTACCTTTGGAAGGCTTTTTGCTGCATGAAGGATTTTTTTTCTGTGGCCTGGGTCGGTGATGCCAATTTCGTGAAGGTCCTCATCTTCCATCACGTTACTCCCCTGAACGTATGCACATTCTCATTAGTTTCTGCTTTATTACGTTTACAAGAACAACCAAGTGTTGCATGATAGTGACAGCAGGGGTAGTTTGAGACAACAGTTTCAGGTACATCTAGTACTTGTGAACACCAGACACTTAGTCAGTGCCTTGCAGGAATATTCAAACCATTTATACATGCATATACTATCTATCTATCTATCTATCTATCTATCTATCCATCTCTAATTAAAAATACTAAAATGCATTTAAAATAACAAAAATACATTTGATTAAATAACTAATGAAAAACACATTACATTAAATTTTTGGTGAAAGCTTGACACCTTAATACTATGAATCTACAGAATATGGTAACTTTAAATATTCCATCCATTTTCATCCAATTGACTTTATCTATTTATACACAATTATATTTTAGGTACTGTGACTGAAATTAAGTAACAATTTCTTTTTCATTATTTAATTGTTCAATTTTTATCAACTTTTAGCTGTTTTGCTTTGCAGTTCACTTAGATAGTCCTGCAATATTTTAAATTAAATGTTTTAAATGAACAAATATTCCATGTAGTCGTAGATCATAAAAATGCATCAATAATTATACAACATTTGTAGAAAAAATACTGTTTAAAATAATTTGATATGGCTTATAGCATGTCAAAATGCAAGGCAATGCTTGAAATGGCATGTACCTTTCTAATCTGAAACACTGAAATAATACATTTATTTTGAAAATAAACTTTTAATGTGAAATTATTTTTGTTTCAATTATAAAAAAAAAAAGTGTGATTTTTTTTTTCATTATAGCAATTAAATATCACAGAATTAAAAAAAACACATTATGCATTGAATCTACATTGAGGATACAAAAAGGTACTTTTTATCATATTTTCGGCCCTCATTTATTGGATATATAGAAACTCACCACATCCCCTGACCAACCTGCTGTATCAATCAATCCCCACAGACAAAAGCCACTCACCATGTAACGCAGGTCATCGAAGCCATTGAGCACCAGTTTGCTCTCATACTGAGGAAAGCCCACATGTTCCAGCCACGCCCCCACCGACTGCTCCAGCACGCGGCCCCCAGCTGCATCTGCCGACAAAGGATGGCGTTTGAGCAGCGAAAAACCGTTTAGCCTGTAGCAGCGGCACTCGGAGGCCGAGATGTGGCACTGCCACATCATCTTTGGCCAGCAGAGCTGAGGGCAGCAGCAGCAACAGCAAGGCAGTGTCCTGGCTTGAGCGACGGGCCTCCGCTAGATGCAGGGCCCCAGATATACAGACTAAACTAGTAATGGAGATTCCTCTACAAGCCCTCAGTGCAGTGGAGATGAGAGCCAAGGCTGATGGGGTATGGAGGTAGACCTTGACAGGTAGTCCTTTAAAGAAGAGTGTCAAGTAAAGGAGTCAATTAACTGGGACAATTTGGTGTTGCTCCTCAAGAAGAGGCAAACAAACAAAGCAACGTCTACACAGCTTTTCTGTATCTGATTCAAATGATCACGCAGAGGGATGTCAGCACTTTGCACAGACAGGATGATCATAAAAGTTCAACAAGAGCTTTTGGCTTGCAGCAAAATATCGAGATCTACAAGAAGCTACTAGGAAGTTGCAGGAAAGTGCACCCTGCTTTGCCCCTATGAAACAAACATTCCTCTACAATGCAAGGCTCGATAAAACAGACTTGTCCTTGAAATTGGAAGCAAAACCCTTTAGTAAAGCCCTAAGAACAGTTGGAGAGTAAGAATACCAATGTCAGTGAGTTTGCTTCAACAGAGTCATGGATCCTCAAACCAAGCAGTCCAACTCATTGATCAACAGTCCACCACAATGCCACCAGAAGCTTTGTGTGATGCCAGCTCCTCCTTTGAAAGATCTTCATGACACAGTTTCCCATTTCCCAGTTGTTGATGAGGAACCCCCTCCCACCATTAGAAAGTAGCCGGTTTGACCACTTCCCCAAGCAGTCCGTAATCAAGTAGGGTTCTGGTCACGGTAATCCAAGTACTCCTGGTCCTTCTGAGCTTAGACGCACCTCGCCGGGCTAACATACCAGAATGGAATGCACCATCGAAACAAGATAAAACCAAGCCTTGATCCAGTGGGAACAACTGATAAGAAAACCCGTTGATGGCTCGGTCCCGCTTCTTGCAGCCCTGCCCCCTTGCACTGGTCGCTCCGTTCTTCTAGAAAACGTTCCTAAGGGTCCTTCGGGCCCCGATCAGGCAGCGTTCTGGTCACGGTAATCCAAAGACTGCTGGTCCCTCCGAGCTTAGACGCACCTCGTCGGGCTAACATACCAGAATGGAGCACACCATCAAAGCGAGGTACAGCCAAGCCTTGATCCAACAGAAATAAGGTGAGCTCCAACAATGGATGGATAACCCCATAAGAAAGCCCCGTTGATGGCACGGTCCCTCTTGTTGCAGCCCAGCCCCCTGTTCTGGTCGCTCCGTTCCTCTTGCAGACGTTCCTAAGGGTCTTGTGCTTGGGGGCAAAGATTGCTGCATCCCTGATCCGGGAACGCTCAGTCACAGCAGCAGCTGCATTCAGCACTCACAAAGCAAAACATCCAAATGACATAGTGCTCCTCTAGAAAGCCATTGGTAGCACATCGGTTGCAGCTGGTAATCACCGTAAAGACATCTTCTTATGCATTCAATTTAGCTGCGAATCATGTCCACTCACTGTTTCTGGCTTTCTTTCCTCTTTGACTTGCTTTTTACCCCAGTTCTCATTGACAGAGTCCTTTCCGAGAGCTCTGCAGGGCTGCCATATGCTGTCTGATGCTGAGACCCGCTGCACGGCATATACGCTCTGCTCGTTCCCAAACCCCCTCCCTCCCGTCTTTATGCCTCTCTTTCTCTATCTGTCTCACATACACGCACTCTCTCTCTCTCTGTGGCGATCAATCCCCCCACCCCCTTTTCTCTGTCTCACTCTCTCTCTGCTCCTCTATCTATTCCCCGCTCCCTGTACTGATTAAAATTGCACGCAGGCTCTCTGATCTTGCTGGTGCAGAAAGGACACCATCAGAAAAAGGAACAAGAGACAAATCCAAACCACACACTACTGTGCCAGGATCAGTCAGGGGAGGAAGAACGAGGGAAAAAAAACCATACATGTTCCTCTAACCCCGCAACCCCATCCCTATCCCCTCCGCACGTCAGTGCTTCCAGAGCCTCTGCACTCTCTCTATGAAAAATTAAATTGTAGCCAAGCCACAAACCACAGTAAATCATCAGAGGAATTAAATTCGTGAATGTGTCACTGTACCAGTGGGGAGAGAGGGCTGGTTCTGGGGTTGGACGTTAAACGTTAAGTCAGCGAAATGCACCGTGCACATGCTGCACTTAACGTAATCCCACCTGTGCCCACCTTCATATTGGACACATCCGAGTCCAAATTCCAGAATTCAGATTTTCCAGATGTAATCAAACTGTAGCGCTCGTGTCTCGTGTGCAGACGACGCCGACCACATCTTCTGTAGCGTGATGTGGTCTAATTCAGTGTCACACATGAGTGCTGCTTCTGCATGCATGTAGGGCATTATCTGCATGCAGCTGAGAGCAGGGGAATCATACAAACTGTCAGCCTGCCAGGACGTTATTCACATACAGACACTGAATCAGGCTTGATATGTAAAGTGCATCCAAACATCTGCAGGCTCAAAAGGACGCTCACTTCTGAAGGAGGTATAAGTATTGGGGTGCATTTTATGTTTTTATCCAAAACAACAAAAAACAAAGAAGAACACTAAGAATTATCCAACAATATTAGCAATGCCACCATACTGAATTTCAACATGGTTTCTCATGGATTTGGTACCATGTTTTTTTTTTTTTTTTTTTACATGTAACATAGTAGTACATATTAAATACACTAACATTAATTCATTAAGCAGACACCTTTATCTGACATGAGCAAAATGAGGAAAAACACCAGCAATTTAGCAAAAAGAAGCCAATAATTTTAGCAATGCCAGCATTTTTGTTAACTTGTACCATGGCGCTACCAATAGCAGTACTTTGGTCTTATACGTAAAAACCAATTTTGATGTACTATTCTTTGAAGCACCTTGGAGTAACATGTAAATGTCATGGTACATGGTATAAGAAAGTACTCTGGCAGTACCATGGTACATCGATGGTATCAGAATGTAATATGGTAGTCTGAACTTTCACTTGTAAAGACAACGTGTATATATATATAT